AACATGATTAAACACATGAATATATGAATATTAATGTTTTATAAATATGAATACTGAATAATATGTAAATGGTCATTAATATCTTTAATATTAGAGTTATGAAACAAAGGAAATGTCAACACCCCCCCCACGCACACTTTTTTTTTCTGACCTGATTACCAAAACTGAAGAAATGGTCAAGCAAGGAAAATGTAGTGAGTAGGGCCATCTTGTGACTTTTTTTTTTTTTTAAATAGTATTGATTTATTTCAGAGAGAGATAGAAAGAGAGCTTGATGCTGGGGAGGGTCAGAGGGAGGGGGAGAGAACTCCCAAGCAGAGTCCGTGCTGATCGTGGACCCAGATATGGGGCTGGATCCCAAGACCCTAAGACCATGACCTGACCTGAAATCAAGAGTTGGATGCTTAACTGACTGAGCCATCCAGGCATCCCCATCTTGTGACATTGTTAGTGACAATGTAACCTGGTATTATTTTCTTCCACAATTTGTCAATTTTATTGAGTTCTGATCTAATTAATTCCACTTCTAGGTTGCAACCTAAAAAAAAAAATCACAGACTTTGAAAAAACTGTTTTTCATAATGGAATATCATATTGACTCAGTAAAATAGAAACAATCTGAATTCTTCAGCAATGGAAATGTGGCTAGGTAAACTCTTACTTTCATGTAATGGACAGTTATGTGACCAATAAAACACACAAAATGAAACAAAAAGGAATAAGTATCTTTAGATATGTATTGAAAAAGTCTGTATGGAATCCATCACATTTCAATAGTGGATAAACAATTATTTTCTAATTTCCTGAGCTATCTTCAAAATGTATATTTGTATTTATATATTTATATTCCTTTTTATATTTATCTTATACTTTATATTACATTTATATTTTATTACTTTTATATTATATCACTTTTATTTAAATATTTAGATTTATATTACTTTTCTAATTGGAAAAACATACATAAGTCAGATGTTTCATAACCTAATGGAAAAAATGATAAGAGAAGCAAGATAGTAAATTGAGGGGAGTGAGTAATGGAGACTGAAGTTAATGGATTTATAACGGAAGGATGAATCTAGTCTGTGTGGATGCTTGTTTCTTTTTTTTTTTTTTTCCAAATAGTCATAGAACATTGTTTAAAATTAAAATACAAAAGAAACCCAAAAAATCGTTAAGTGAATGCAGTTCATGTATGTTACTTCATATCTTATTTACTTCAGAGTCTTCATCTACTAAGTGATTTGTTTATTCGATTTCCATCTGAAGAATCAATTATCTGGTTCTAAATGGGTTTTTGACTTAGATTCAGGGCTGAATTTCTGCTCTGCAGCAACTATTGGTTTTGCAGTTTGAAGGACATTTCTTAAACACCTTGAGGGTTGGTTTCATCATCTGTACTATGGGCACAATGCTTTTTCACAGGGCATTTTTGAAGGTTAAAGTACTTTATGTACCTATCATAGTCCCGGACATATAGTATTTGCTTTTATTGATTAGAGAAAAATGTTTTCACAAGGAAGCATTGAATTTTGTATATTATAGTATATATGAACACTTATATCCATATATGTTGTACATATATTTTTATATAATATATAGTTTATATATGTTTATATATAAACATATTAGTATATATGTGTATTTATATACATATATACACAGTACATACATGTTTTAGTATATACATATAATATACATATTATAAAACTTCATTTATGGGGCACCTGGGGGGCTCAGCCAGTTTCTGGTCTGCCTCAGGTTGTGATCTTAGGGTTCTGGAATCAAGCCCCACTTGGGGCTGGCTCCCTGCTCAGTGGGGCATCAGCTTCTCCCTCTCCCACTGCCCTTACCCTCCTGCTCATGTTCATTCTCTCTTTCTCTCTCTCTCAAATAAATAAATAAATAAATAAATAAAATCTTTAAAAACAACAACAACCACAAAACTTCATTTATTTTAGGGTGTTTTAACTTCTATTATTTCAGTCTATCAATTTTTTTTTTCATACTCTACTGAGCTTCTAGATCACTTTCTCAAATTTCTACATTTTCCTATTGGGGAATTCCATAGCAACGGAAGAGAATCAGAAATTGATTCCTTTATTATTATTTATTTATTTGTTTATTTATTTCTACCTGATCTTCAGAGCCAAGAAAAAGCACAAATGTCAATTAGCATTGACATAGGAATCAAGTTTCGTTTCAGAGATATTTACAACAGTACCCAGAAACAATCTCTTCAGTTCTTCTAAGGATTCTGAACAATTGCCTCTCCTTTTCTCCTTGGTGGATAGATCAAAGTAAGCCCAAGAAATCTCAGCTGAAATCCAGATGCAGGTTGGCTGCTACGCGCTAGTGCTTTGTGGTCTTGGCTGATTAACCAGCTTTCAGTAGCTGGGAAAAGGTAATAGCGCTATGCTCCTCCTGCTCCTTTCTCTGGGGAGTAATAGTTCCATCTCTGGTGGTCAAGGGGGAGATCAAACTTAAAGGATAGGATAAAATGGCTTATGTCATGAGTGCTTAGACCAGACCATAAAATTGAAAGTTTAGATTCAAGTCTGAGTATCAATAATAATTCATATACTTGTAGAACCAACAAACAGAGCAGAGGATGTGCATGAGCTCACTGGTACACAATGATTAACACCAAGAATGTGGTACCCCGGTAGTGATCTTGTTCCCTGCTGAGAGGCACAAAGTTCAGTCCCTGCCCCAGCACCTTTCAGGAAGTGAGGCACTAAACCCCAGGGTGAGAAGCTATTTAGGCTTCTTAGCTTAAGTGTTGAAAGAAGGCACCATTATTAAGCAAACCTCAACCTTAATTACCTTAAAGCAACTGTTTTTTTTTTTTTTCTTTAACCAGGCCACAGGTACAGAAACTCATTTATTTTGTGGTTGACTTCTGACTCTGCCATCAGACCTTAAAACTGGAGATTTCAGTACCTCAAGCCTAGCCAAAATTCAAATGGTTGTTCCACGTTACTTGTTACTTGTCAGGGAGCTGCCATCAACACAGAGGAAAGAGAGGGTATTGAAAAAAATCAGAATGAATTTTATTAGAGCTCACCAATGTATCTCAATAAGTACTTAACTTTTAACTTGTACATAGAGAAATTATCACATGTGGTGGATATTTGTAAGATGAACTCCCAAGTGATCACTCTCAGATCAAAAATAGGATACTTCCTGGGGCGCCTGAGTGGCTCCGTTGGTTGGGGGTCTGCCTTCAGCTCAGGTCATGATCCCGGAGTCCTGGGATCGAGCCCCACTTTGGGCTCCCTGATCAGCTGAGAGCCTACTTCTCCCTCTCCCTCTGCCTGCTGCTTTGCCTACTTGTGCTCTCTCTGTCGAATAAATAGTAAAAATCTTTAAAAAAAAAAATAGGATACTTCTAGCTCCTTGAGTCCCTCCACATTGTATCCAGCCCCAATTCTGCTTTTCTCCGACCCTTGAGAGGTAACTACTATTAATCATTTCCTTGTTCTTTAAAAAATGTACGTATCACTTATGAATGTATCTCTACAAAAGACAATTTCGTTTAATGTCTGTTATTGTCCCACTGCGTATTTGTCAGAATCATAGATCTGATGTGTTTAGTAATAGTTTATTCATTTTTATTGGTGAAAGTATTTTATTGTACAAATATATCACAACTTACTTATCTGTTCTGCTGTTGATGTGAATTTGGGACATTTCCAAAAAATTGATAAATAATGCTTCTATAAATTTTCATGTGTGTGTGTTTGTGTGTGTGTGTGTTTCCACAGGGAACATACTGGGGGTGGAATTGTTAGATCATATAGTATATGAATATCTTCAAATTTCCTAGATAGTATCAAATGCTTTTCAAGTTGTTTTACCAATTTATGTTGCTGCCAGCCGTATATTTATTTAGGATTTCATTAATGATTTACTCATTTAAATTTCATAATTTTTTTTCCATTTAGAAGTAGTAACACCTCTATTAGTAAATTTATTTCTAGATACTTGAAAATGTTCTTTAAATATCTCTTTTTTAGTTTTCTGAGTATTTGTTGCTGACATACAAAACTATGAAAGTTACTTATACAAAACAAACGTAAAATAAATTTAATCGTGTCATTTAATATTTGTTTAATGAGAAGTCTAGAAGTTTGGAATTAGTTACATACATTTTTTTCCATGAATCTACTTATCACACAATAAGAAGACATGTGTGCTTTTGAATTAGGATATGTGTAAATTTATTAATAGTTTGGAAATTCATGTCATTAGCCTCCCTGCTGGAAGTTGTTGGCTTCCAGGAAATGCATGACTAAAAAGGATCTTTAGAGTCATTTTTTCTCCATTCCATACAGCGTGCCACGTTGTCAAAGGCCCACGGAGCATCAGTTCTCAGGTTGATGTAAAACACCACTGCAATTTTGCACGCTGTATCATGTGAACTTTTCCTTGGGAGAGATGGAAAAGTACCAGAGACATTGTTTCTTTTCTAGTTCTTGCTCATCAAAAAGATTGGGAATCATGAGAAACGGTGACATCATTACATAGCCTAAAGCAACACAAATTTATACAGAAGCAGATCAGATGTACCGTGGATAATCCTTGAGTCATACAATCAGGAGCTCCTGAAGTATACTTATTTCCTTTTTCATCTGTATTTTTGGGTAAAACCATTTTTTACTTCCCTTGTCCATCTCAGTATAGCCACTGACTTAAACAAAGCCATAGATTTTATTCACTATCCCCCTACACCTATCATGACCCTGTAACCTCAATATTCTTTTATTTCTGAAAAGTTTTGAAATTAGTCATTGCCATAATCCCTCTGCCTAGCTACAGAATATTCTGCAAATGTTCATAATCAAGGAGTGGCTCTGTGAGTTTTTTTAAGAAACAACAATTAAATTCCTAACCCATGAGAAATCAAGTTTTCATGATTTAAATGAATTATGTGAAATAAGGAGGGCAAGGTTTATATCTGCTCAGAATCCTGGAGTCTTTCTTACAGCTGAGATAACTTTCTGCCCATTGTTTTTCTGAAGGAGCAAGTTTTTCTATTTGTTTTTCCTCAACAAGCATACATCGTGTACTTTGGGGTTGAATTTGGAATTTTTTTTGGAAACCGAATGACTATTGTCTTACATAATCCAGATTGAATAAATACAATTATCAATTTAACATAAATCTGGGATTTTCCAACTTCTCACCCACAAAGCGAGTATAGACATCTCTGGAGTTGCAGCCCCGTCAGAATGCATGGTGACCGGCATCACACTGAGGATATTGAACGAAGTCCAGTAGAGCTGGTGAGTACAAACGCCTTTTAGCTGCTCTCCCGGCTCATAGTCTTGCTTTCAACATTGAACATGTAACACTTCAAGAAAGTTAGGTTGCATTTTTCTGATTTTGCTATTGTAGGGTAAATGGAATCTGAGATGTTATTACCAGCAATCACAAGTGTCGAGAGGGGTTATTTAATATGCCAGATACTGCTTTTCATATCATTTGGGAATTATGCATTAGACTTTTTGCCTAAATTTTGATATTTTGCTGAATTTTGATGTTTATATATAAGGTACCTCTAGACAAAATTTTTAGTAAAATTATTTGGAATGTTGTTTATAGCACACATTAATATTTATTATTATTTATGTTTATTTTATATTGTTTATGTTATTATTTATTACAATATATTTTGATGCAATGAAAATATCTATTCTCATTGACCAATTTGTATGTATTTAAAGTAGTAATTTATGGAAAATGTCTCACAGGGAGACTTACACTGAAAATATGTTACTCTAGTAATATAAAAATCATATTTTTTGGAACGTGTATGGGGTCTCACTCCTCATTCAAACAAATCTTTTCATTTTGCATATAGGGGAATTGAAACATTAAGAGTCCACTTAGCTAGGGCGCCTGGGTGGTTCAGTTGTTAAGCTTCGGCTCCAGTCATGATCCCAGGGTCCTGGTCCTGGGTTTGAGCCCCGCATCAGACTCCCTGCTCAGCTGGAAGCCTGCATTCCCACTCCTGCTTGTGCTCCCTTTCTTGCTATGTTTCTCTCTGTCAAATAAATAAATAAACTCTTAAAAAAAAGAAGAGTCTACTTAGCTAGTGGCAGAGTCAGAAATAGAACTCAGATTTCTCATTTAATCTCATTTTTTGTTAAAGATTTTATTTATTTGAGAGAGGGAGTGAGCAAGTGAGAGAGAGCTCGAGATCATGAACAGGAAAGAGAAAAGCAGACTCCCCACTGGGCAAGGAGCCTGATGTGGGGCTCGATCCCAGGACCCTGAGATCATGACCTGAGCCAAAGGCAGATGCTTAACCCAATGAGCCACTCAGGCACCCCTATAATCTCAATATAAGGAACTACTTTTCAGAAAACTTTACTGCTATGTTCATAATAAAGAAAAATGAATTTTATTTTTTTAAAGATTTTGTCTATTTGACAGAGATCACAAAGAGGCAGAGAGGCAGGCAGAGAGAGACGGGAAGCAGGCTCCCTGCTGAGCAGAGAGCCTGATGGGGCTTGATCCCAGGAGCCCAGGATCATGACCTGAGCTGAAGGCAGAGGCTTTAACCCACTGAGCCACCCAGGAGCCCCAGAAAAACGAATTTTAAATCAACCTGAGATTGTAGAACCAAGAGACGAATCAGAAGAAATAAATAGAAAGATAGGCTTTGATAAAAGATTTGTTTCGCCACATGAAGGTCATATTTGTGATCAGTCTCGGGATTCAGCAACTAGACTGTCATAAACTTATTTTAGAGGATGACTCATATTTCAAGGAAGTTACAAAATGTCATCTCTTTAATATCATATATACATCATTCTATTTCCTTCTCCTTTTCATTATAAATTAAGTGTGAGTTATCTTATTTCCCCACATGCCAAAATCTATGCAATTTATTCCATTAAGTCAAATGATTAGATAATCTAGCTAAAAAAAAAAAAAAAACAAACAAAAACCCAAGCAAACAAACAAAAAAACCCAAAAAAGAAACAAACAAAAAACCGAAATAGTGAAACTGACTTCTGAAACCATGAAAGGAATGTTTGGATTTCCCATTTTTTTTTTTTTGAGCCAAATAATTCAGCTTATTTTATTTTATTATTTTTTTAATCATTTTTAAAAATTTATTTTCAGCATAACAGTATTCATTGTTTTTGTACCACACCCAGTGCTCCATGCATTCCGTGCCCTCTCTAATACCCACCACCTGGTTCCCCCAACCTCCCACCCCCCTGCATTTTTTTTTTTAATCTGACAGTCTATAACTTCTTAAGTCCCCAAAAACAACAAGTAGAAAAAATTTCTTTTACAATTGCTATGAGTTTATTTGCTCATTTTAGAGCCCTTGGAAAATATAGACAATAACAAAGAACAAAGAAAAAATCACCCATGATCCCTCCCAGAAAAAAAGATCACTGCTAATATTTTACTTCCTGTCCCCTCTCCCATCCAATCTAATTTTATTCTTACAATTGTTTTATTTTGCCAGGTGAAATTTTTGTCAATTTACTTGTTTTTCCTCCAAAAGCCCATAAAGATATTAATTAAAACTCAGAGAATTGAGAGCTTATACTGCTGAAATGTTTTTATAACAGGATATTTATCCAAATTGTCTTTTTGTTTCTCAGTAAAGGGTTGTGGTTTTCTTTATGTAAGTCCTATAGCATTTGATATGCTTAGGCTGTTTTATATTGCTTTATTACTGCGAACAGCAGTGCACACACACACACACACACACACACACACAAACAAGTGCTGTTACATATACTTTTCATATTTTTATAATCAGCCAATTCAATGAGTTCTTACTCCTTTTGAGAGATTGTATGGTTGATTATTTGAGATCCTGTTTGTAAGCAGTCATATGATGTAGAAAAAAATATTAATTTTATATTCCCATTTCCATTATTCACACACACTGATGGGAACTTCTAGAAAAACATGACCTAATATAGGTGGTAGGAGACGTTCTTCACTCCTCCTGGCTTTAAAGAAATGTGCCGAATGTTTCAAGGTTAAATACGGTGTCAGTCTATTTTATTTGTAGTTCTTTGAGATTTGTATTGTCTGCTTTTGTCAAGACTGAATGCTGAAATTTGTGAAAATGATCCTTGGGCATCTGTTGAATCAATCATTTTATTTTTCATTGATCATTTGATGTGAAAAGTGTATCTGTACAATTCATATCATCCTACCATTTATTAGAGTTTCAGATTCTTCTAGAACTTGGTTGGTTCTTCCTTTAACACATGTTGGATTCACATCATTTTTATGTGCTTCATTTGTTTATGTTCCCAGATAAAACTTTCTTCATCTTTAACAATAAGACTTGCTTGTTCCTTTATTTATTTAAAAATTCTTTCTCTGCAGTTGCCCAGAAATCCATACTGTTCGAATGAAGGAACCCACTGTGGTTGTAGATTGCCCACGGGGACCCTCCAGCCGCAGTGGGTAAGATTTGGGGACTGGGGGGAGGTGGGGAGTCTTTAGCAGTACTGGAGCAGCGGTGAAATGAGGCAGGCAGGCCCTGCTCCACAGACTCCCTGCAGGGCGCTTGTGTCCTTTAACCCCTCGTTGGCCCCATGCCCTTTGACTACTCTGCACTTCTCCTGTGCTGCCAGTCTACAAGCTCCTAGTGACAACAGGGACCCATGGTTTCATTCTATTCCTTGAAGACCCTACCCCTACCAGAGCTAATACGTGTTCTATTTTGATATCTTTCCAAGCTCAGTGAAAGTTCTCTTCTGTATAAGAGATAAAAATTATTTTAAAAATATTTTTCTAAATATAAAATTTCAATATGTAATATGAAAATAGGAGCTGACAATGAGCCAAAGAACACCTGCCATTTTCCATCACTCTAAGGTAACCAATCTAAATGTTTTGATATACATTTTCATCACATTTTTTTAGCAAGGAGGACTAACTAGATAATTTAATTTATATTGTGATGTTAGTAGCCGATCATAACTTAACAGTAATATATTCCAGAGGCAATCTATTTGCATATGAGATGATGCCTTATTGCTTTAGTACAAAGGGGGAATTCCGAGGGAACATTTTGTCTTCATGGACTTGTGGACAAGGTGTGTGTGTGTGAGACAGAGAGAGAGAGAGGGAGGGAATGGAAGAGACAGCTAATGAACTGTACCTGAAATTATAGCATTTGGAGTAATGAAACAGATTAGCCTTATTCTAACTGAAATCAGCTGCTTAAGCCACTACGATCTCATTTGCTGAAATATTCACTTTCATAATTCATTACAGGTTACAGCAAAACCATGGTCACTCTGGAAAACATTTCTGGTGTGTCTCTTGGCCTGTCTAATTGCCACAACACTTGTTGTTCTGGTCTTATATTTTGTCCACTTCAGCAAGCCCGTCAACAGTACAACCATCATCATTCACGCAGATGGAAAGTTGAATCGTGTCACCTGCATCCCTGGTTCTACCCCATCTCCTGCCTTATCAACCCTGCCTGGATCTCCTACCCCTCTGCCCAACCAAAGCTCCCCCACCAAGGTATCTCCATCCCCCATAGAGACCACTAAAACAACACTGGAGCATGAAATTATCATTGAAGAACAAAAATGACATTTTTGAGCCCTTAGCATTCCTCCAGCGAGATCAACACCCTCCCCCTGGAGGAGGCATGTCCAGGGGTCCTCTCTTTCCTGCCAAGAGGTGACAAAGCATTTGGTTTCATGAAAGCTTGCCCTTTTTGCTCCAATCATTGGCTGAATTCCCATATCGTGATGACTCAGTCTTGGACCCTCCAATGTTCAAATGATTGCAAAAAGATTTTTTTCAACTGAGCCTGATTCATTCAGGCTGGGGCCCAGAACTTCCTTTTTAATCCCTCCTATACAACCAACTTTATTCTTCACAAATGGTTTCCACTGAGGAAGAGGATCCCACTTTACTTTGCTCCCTGCCTGTTGGCTCTTAAGCCAGTGTTTACCTTCTAGCTATTGCTTCTTTTACAATCTCATATACTTCACTATTTTCATCATTTGTATTCCAGCGGGAAGAAGGAAATGTTCAATTAAAGTACTTAACGAGCAAGAGTTTTTTAAATACCTGTCAGGTATTAGAGACTCATTTTTCTTGTTGGGAAATTCAGAAAAGAGATTAGTGAAGTTAGGAATAGTCAAGGAAGATTTTGGAGAGAAACTAAGTTGAAAAAGGGTGAAGAATTGGACTTAGGTAGAGGTAATTAAAATAGAAAATGAGAGGGTTAAAAGGGTTTAATAGATTTAAAATCAAAAGCACGCTTAGAAACACTTCAAATGTAATGTATTTTATATATCTACATTTTTTCAGTGATATTGTCAACATCATTTTCCACATTTGATATTTTCCTTAATATCTAAAATACCAGAAACTACTACTTAGAAAATTTGAAGTCTAAAATTGTTTTGTATTTTGTACTATAATTTTGAGGACACATTGCTTGCAATTTGCTACACACAAGATGTGTTCAATATTTATATTGACTGTTTAGTATTCACTAAAAGCATATACATTTCATTCTGGGAGAGACTTTAGAGTTAAATGAACCTTCCCATTCTACCCCCAACCTCTAAACTCTATAAAAATGGGAGACTGTATTAGACAAGGAGCCTTCCTACCCAGACTTGGCCCCATGAGAGGACATCAAAGCCTTGGTATCCAGGTTCCAACTTCTGATTGTTTTTTGCTGACCATTAGAGGTTCTTTGTTTTCCTAAAGCAAAAGGCTTTGTGTTCTATATAATTCTAGGTTGATTTGCTGCAGTCAATAATAGGCTATGTGAATTGGAATATACTTTGAGACCTTATTGAACACTTAAGACTCCACAAAAGAAGGATTGGAAATATAGACATTCCTTACAAAATTGTTCTATATGGGCAGCTCATATTATTTGTCAGACACCGAGAGATGTACAAATTTGAGTCTTTAGAGAATAATTTTTATACCACGAATACCATTAAACTTAAGAACTTATCATTAAACTTAAGAATGATGATATTTTAGAAAAGAAAGATCAGAAAGTTCTAGATAGGGTTAATAAACACAAGGGAGTAAATGTGTATGCATGTTCCCCTAGTATGATCCTAAACTGATTCATTTCTATTATAGTTTTTATTTAAATGCCTGTGAAGAAGAAAGACTAAATTTATTAGGTTCAAATGTACTTCCTAAGATAATTTAAATTTCACTTTGTGGTATAAAAGTAAAAAAAGCTTTTTTTAAAAAGAGATACTACAGATGTGGTATGGTAACATGGGGATGTGGTATGGTAACATGGTAACATACCCCTTTATGTTTAAGGAGAATCTTAGCAATGAATTTCCTACATTAAATATTGGGTTGGGAGATACTGTAATTAAGTCATCTGACATCATTCGGTTTCTGTGCTTTGTAAAATAGAGATGTAAATGAGTTCTTGGATTCTCTGTTCTGCTTTAGAATTTTATGGTTTAATAAAATTTTAAAATAGTAAACAGAGTTGTGAAAAATGTGTTCACAAGTTAAAATATATCACTTGAACAAAAATTTTGTTAAGTACTCTGAAAATATTAAATGAAGTATGTATAGACAATAAATAAATAATCACCCAGTTTTAATGACTTACTCAGCAAATATTAAAACCATATATAAGCACTAATATTTATTGTTTCAAAATTCATTCATTCTACTTAATTGATAGTAATATATTTTAAATTAGTCAGGAAGCTTCTCTATTTAAAACACCTGCTACATAGCCTTTTGTGAGTCTCTCTCATTCGTTCTTAGGCACAAAGTAACTTTATGTAGGATTAGATGCTAAGTTTACAAATTCGCTTCACCAAATGAGAGTGTAACTAACTTCCTTAGAGTCTTTACTGGAAAATGTCCTAGTGGGCATTTTGTTTCCCCCAAAGTTCATTTATCTATACTGAAAATCTGCTGTAATAGGTAGCCCAGCTCCAAGATGGGATAAGCCACTCACTCTCAGAATGCGCAGTTTCAAAAGCTTTTAAACTTTGAAACTATAGCTGACAGCACTGACTGCTCTTTGGCTCTCCATCTTGTTCACACCTGTGCGGTGACCGACACGTTCCATGCCCGGAAGAGGTTAAGCTATACCCTGCGGGAAGGCTAGTTCTGATCTCGAGCTTCCTTAATGTGGCACACAGAAGGCTCCACTTTAGATACCTAGTAGAGATCCTCTGGTGCACACAGATGACGCCACTTCAGGAAACCACCCTGTGGCTACACCGCCATACCACTCGCTCTATAAAAGCTGGGGATTACGGTCCGGACTGGGCGGAGAATATCTTTGTGTCTGTTGTGAACCATTCTCCGTGGGCTCCCCACTGTCAGTAAGTTACCCTGAATAAATCTGTGTAAAGAGAGGCTTGCTTTGTTTTTCAGTCTCAAAGTGCCTTCTTTTTGCTTTACTGACCTTCCTCCAGCTTCTAACAATTGGCAAGTCGGCCGGGAGATGGAAAACAAAACAAGCGTGGGCCAAGGGCCTCCTCGTTTGTGGGAGAAATCCCAGCTTGGTCAGCCACCACCATGTGGAGGGACTCGCCAAGTTTTTGGACCATTTCAGACCAATGCATGAATACAGGGAAGCTCTCCACCCCCTGTAAAGAAAAAAAGAAAAAAAAAAAAGCCCAAGGGGTTGTTGGATACCCTATCTGAAACAGCAGAGAAAGGAAATGGAGAAGGGAAAATGACCAAGCTATCGTGCTGGTAGCTTGGCTGTTGATCTGTGCATATGAGACACCACGGAAAAGCAGTTACTAGCAAGGAGAGAACTGGAACAAACCAGGGAACCGTGTTTTTAGAAGTGTGGCTTTAGAAAAGAATATAGGAGCCTATGGGCTTCTCCAGACATTCTACGAGGGAAAGTAAATAAACACAGAAAAAAAAGATCTCAAATAAACAACCTAACTTTATACCTGAAGGAAATACAAAAGGAAACTAAGCCCAAACGTAGCAGATGGAAGTAAATAACAAAGATTGGAGCAGAAATGTCCCCCAACAATGAAAATGAATCAACCACTGATACATACCACATGATAAAGTAATTATGCTGAAAGTGGGCAAACAGAAGAGTAACACTATATGATTCCATTAATAAAAAAATTCTGAAAAATTTACACTAATTGATAGTGACAGAAAACAGACCATTGGTTGCCCAAGGGCAAGAACTGGAGTGGGCATATATGGGGCAAAGAAATTTCAAAGGGGTATAAGGGTATAAGGAAAATTGTGAGGGTGATGACTATGTTCATTATCTTGATTGTAGTGATGTTTCCATGGGTTAAAACTTATGAAATTGTATGATTTCAATAAGTACAATTTGTTGTATGTCAATTATACCTTAGTAAAGCTACTTCAAAAAAAGAGACCAGTAGGGGCGCCTGGGTATCTCAGTGGGTTAAGCTGCTGCCTTCGGCTCAGGTCATGATCTCAGGGTCCTGGGATCGAGTCCCACATCGGGCTCTCTGCTCAGCAGGAAGCCTGCTTCCCTCTCTCTCTCTCTCTGCCTGCCTCTCCGTCTACTTGTGATCTCTCTCTGTCAAATAAATAAGTAAAATCTTTAAAAAAAAAAAAAAAGACCAGTAAAATAATAGAAAAGATGAATGAAACTAAGAGCTGGTTATTTGAAAAAAAAAAAAAAATTGACACACCTTTAGCTAGACAAACTAAGAAAAAAGAAGAGTCAAAAAACATTAGAAATGGAAAAGGAGACATTACAACTGATACCACAGATCTAGAAAGATCTGAAGAGTTTACTGTGAACAATTGTACACCAACAAATTGGATAACCTAGAAGAAATGGACAACTTTCTAGAAACCTACAACCTGACAAGACTGAGTCACGAATATACAGAAAATCAAACAGATCAATATGAGTAAGGTGAATGAATCTGTGATCAAAATTTTCTAAACTTTTAGAAAAGCTCAGGGTCAGATGGTTTCACTGGTGAATTCTACCAAATATTTAAAGAAGAATTAATGCCAATCTTTTTCAAAGTGTTCCAAAAAATTGATGAGAAGGGAATATCCCCAATCCTTTTAGAAGGGTAGCATTACCCTGATACTGAAGCCAGATAAGGACACTTGAAGAAAACAAAACTATAGGTCCATATCTCTAATGAATGTAGGCGCAAAAATTCTCAACAAAATATTAGCAAACTAAATTGAATCATATATTAAAAGGATAATATCCCATGATCAAACCAAAAAGTTTCTGCACAACAAAGGAATCCATCAACAAAATACAACCTGCAGAATGGAGAAAATCTTTGCAAATCATATCATCTGATAAGGGGTTAATATCTAAAATCTATAAAAAACTCCTAACTTAATGGGAGAAAACAATCCAATTTAAAAATGAGTAGAGGAGGGGCACCTGGGTGGCTCAGGTCACGATCCCAGGGTCCTGTGATTGAGCTCTGCATCGGGCTCCCTGCTCATCAGGAGTCCGCTTCTCCCTCTCTCTCCTCACTGTCTGCCCTGCTTGTCCTCTCTCACTCTCTGTCAAATAAATAAATAAAATCTTAAAAAAAAATAAAAATGAGTAGAGGAATAGGATAAACATTTTCCCAAAGAGG